GTTTATACAGGTTCGAAAGGGAATATTTTTGACCAAGCCTACGGGCTCGGAGACCCCACGCTAAACCGGCCTTGTGCCACATGCAACCCTCGTGGGGTGGAGGGTAGCTAAATATCCTAGCTGCGACCTGTTCCAGCTAGACAGTCGAACTCTCTGCATTCGGGGAGAGAGCAATCCGGACGAGGCTCTGCCGAAGGGCAGAGTCTCGTTCGAGGAGGTAGGCTGCCCCTGAACTTGTTTATACGTGTTCGAAAGGGAATATTTTTTATTTAAACCCGGCCTTGTGCCACATGGAACCCTCGTGGTGGGGTAGCTAAATATACTAGCTTGGATCCGTTCCAGGTGTGCTGGTCGAACTCTCTTCCTCCGAACAGAGAGGATCCCGTATGCCGAAGGGCCCAGTCTCGTCTCGGGAAACAGCTACCCTACCCTGTTTTATACGGGGTCTACAGGAATTTTTGGCTGAGCCTACAGGTTCGTATGTCCCACATTAAACCCGGCCATTTGCCACATCTGATCGCGTGGGGAGGTTAGTAAATATACTAGCTGGGATCTGTTAAGTACGAATCAGATTTACGAGAACTATCGGCCTTCCAATAGTAGCACTCACTACAGGATTGACTTGTGACGACCTTGCGCATGTCTGTTACCTTTATTCTTATTGTACTGTTTTTTTACAATTAACCTTTACTTATTTTATCCACCGTGTTGTTGAAGTATATATTCCTAATAACACGGGATATAACAGTAGCAAAATAAACAGAATGAAAACTGCCCCAAATTTGACAGCTGAACTTAATTATTTTCGATAGAAACCATTGTTGCTCTCAACTCAGTGGCTCAGTGGGTGTATACCCATTAAGAAACCCGTGCACAATCTTTTTTTAAGAAATCAGAAAAGACTGTTATGGGCATAAAAAGCATAATCACTGAACATCGAAAGCGTGAGAAAATGTATTGTGGACAGACGAGTCCAAATGTGAATATACTAGCTGCGATCTGTTCCAGCAGAGAGGAACCCGGACGGGGCTCCGCCGAAGGGCAGAGTCTTGTTCGGGGAGGTAGACTGACCCTGAACCCGTTTATGCGGGTTTAAGAAAGGAATATTTTTGGCCGAGCCTACGGGCTCTGAGAATCCACGTTAAACCAGCCTTGTACCACATGCAACCCTCGTGGGGTGGTCTCTAATTATACTAGATGCGACCTGTTCCAGCTAAACAGTCGAACCCGGACATCGAAAGCGTGAGAAAATGTATTGTGAACAGACGGCTCCAAATGTGAACATTTTGGTACGAAAAACTTTGTATGTAAGAAGAAAACCAGGAAAAAGACTTAATGTTGAATGTATGGTTCCATTGGTTAAGCATAGTGTTGGATCTGTTTGGGATTATGGGGAGAGAGAACGTTGGAGATTTGATTCAGTTCAAGTGAATCATGGAAAAAGAACAACATCATTAGATTTTCCTAAGACATGCTATACCATCTGGTTTACTCATAATTAAACAAAAAATAACCTTTCAACAAAACAATAATCCAAATCTCTCTTCTAATTTATATAAAAAAATAACAATGAATAATAAAACTTTTAAAAATATAACTTGGCTACCACAATCTCCAGATCATTGAATTAGTTTTAGATCAATTGGATAGGAGTGTTTGAAGAGAATACCCAAAGCGTAAGAGTGAGCTTTTTAGTGCTTGAAGAATGCTTGTGAAGGTTTGCCATTTAATGTCTTTTCAAAACCTGTTGGAAAAAAGTATTAAAAGTTTGTAAATCAATAATTAAGGCAGGTGGTGGTTTCTATTGACGTAAAAAAAAGGATGCTATTGTATAATATTTTTTCGTAGTTAAGTGCTTACTTTTGTCAAAATTAAAGCAAATGCACTGGGGTTCGTGGAATTTGGTCCAGTGGATAAAAGCGTTTTTTGATTGATTGATTGGACAAAAAAGTGATTTGTCCCAAAGAGTTGTGAGTTCAATTCTTGCCCTCAGCGGAGAGAACAAACATTTGGATATTTATCAAGGCGACGTCACTAAAACTGAGTCGACCCAGTATTTTCTGAGCGACTGTTCGGTTGTACTCTCTTCCTACGGACGGGAGGAACCCGAAGGAGGCTACGCCGAAGGGCGGAGTCTCTTTCGGGGAGGTAAACCGGCCCTGAACCCGTTTATACGGGTTCAATGGGCATATTTTTGGCCGAGCCCACGGGCTCGGAATGCCCACGTTAAAAAGGCCTTGTGCCACATGACACCTTCGTGGGGGGGGTGACTGAATATCGTCACTAAAACTGAGATATCCAAAGGCATGGTACGCGGAATTAGAACAGTCTAGGACTGTGGACTAAATAAAGGGTCCCATTCACGATTCCAACAAATATTACCTGAAGAAGGCTGGAGACAACAGCCGAAACGTTGTGAATGTGATAATCAAGATCAGGACAGCAGTTTGAACAATGTAAATAGTGTAAATGTGAGAAGTATTTCTGCAACACTATTACGCTAATGTGTAACTATTATGTGAATGTATGTCTATCGAACCGTGTACTATGATCAGGATATTGAAATGCATCGATTGTTATAAAAGGACATACTGATACTACTACTACAAATAATAATAATAACAACAACATATAGGAAAATACCTTGGCATGGTGTTTAAGATGAGTACCATATAATGAAAGTATTCTCAGAGCTCAGGGCGGAACAGTATTCTGAAAAAATATATGCGTCGGTTGAACGAACGCAGAAAGGAAGAAATAGATTAGAGAAGAAAACAAAATGTGTTTGTGAGAGATAGCGGTAATGAAATACAAATGGCAAGAGAAAAAGATAGATAGATAGACAGATAGCTAGTTAGCTAGCTAGATAGATAGTGAACAGACTGGTGTATATATATATATATATATATATATATAGAGAGAGAGAGAGATAGATAGATAGATAGATAGATAGATAGATAGATAGATAGCGACCTATGAACAAAATGAGACAGATGCATATGAATGGCAATGTTGAGATTGATATATATATATATATATATATATATATATATATATATATAGAGAGAGAGAGAGAGAGATAAACAGATTGATATATATATATATATATATATATATATATATATATATATATATTGGCCCGAAGATTGCGTCTAGCATGAAACAGACTGTCGCCTCTGAGTGTTGACTTCAATTTTCACTTTCAGATAGATAGATAGATAGATAGATAGAGTGAGGGAGAGAGAGAGGGAGGGAGATCTGAGAAGACTGCAATACAGAGATAGATCTGAGCACACTGCAATAGATAGATAGATAGATAGATAGATACTGAACAGACTGCGATATATATATATGTATAGAGTGAGATATAAACATGAGATTGATATATATAGAGAGATATAAACAGATTGATATATATATATATATATATATATATATATATATAGAGAGAGAGAGAGAGAGAGATATATTGATAGATAGATATATAGATAAGATAGTGAACAGACTGCGATATATATATAGAGAGATATAAACATAATGAGATTGATATATATATAGAGATCTAAACAGAGTGATATATATATATATATATATATATATATATATATATATATATATATATATATATATAGATAGATAGATAGATATATATATAGATAGATCTGAGCAGACTGAAATACATAGATAGATCTGAGAAGACTGCAATAGATAGATAGATAGATAGATAGATAGATAGATCTGAGCAGATAGATATCTTTCAGTTGATGGCTATTCTTATGATTATATCCTGGTTTTACAAGTTATTTACATTTGCCAATTAGAGTTCATCCTTCGTTCCTTGAAGCGTCAAATTCAAAAATGGCCCAAAACTCTAACGGATTTCTTTTATTGTTCCTTGTGGTTTCCTGGCCTCGAGCACTTATGTTTCGACTTGGTCTTTCGTTCACCAATCCGCCATTATTCGTTCCATCTCATTTTCGCTTCCTCTCTCTATTTCCCACCCACTTTCTTCGTCTGTATTTTCTTTTCTCTCCCGCCTCTCCCACTGTTTCCATTCACCTCTTTTTTCATTTCATTGTATGTCTCTATATACTTTTTTCTCTCTTTATACCCTCCCTCTTTCTGGTCCTTCCTCTCCATAGTCATTCCCTCTTTACTAATTCTTTACCCTCGATATCTTCCTTTCTCTCTGTTTGTATCTATATTTCCTCGCTGTGTCTCTTCGTAATACTTCGCCACTTTCTTTCCTTTCTCCTACTCTACGTGATTTCCCATTTCTCTCTATCCATCCAGCCATTCTCTATACATTATTCCCTCTTCCTCTCTATTCCTGTATATCGATTGACCCTCTCCTGGTATACGTTATCTATTCTCTCCGTCATACTCTCAATCTATATTAATTTCTCTCCTCTCTGGCGATTTCTACTTCTCTCTCCATTACTTCACTCTCCTCTTAACTACTCTCTCTATATCTGTTTCTCTTTCTCTCTATTTGAACTCTCCCCAGGGACTATTTTCTTATCCATCAAGTACTCTGAGATAAGTTTCATTTTGTCGATTTTAAATTTCATGCTTTTTCTTATTTAATTTGTTTCTTTCTTTTTCTCGTTCTTTCTTTCTTTCTTTCTTTCCGATGACTTCATTTTTCACTTTATATTTCCTCTATTATAAGTGTGCTTTCTTTCTTTCTTTCTTTCTTTCTTTCTTTCTTTTTCTTCTATTCTTTCTTTCTTTCTTTCTTTCTTTCTTTCTTTCTTTCAGATGACTTTATTTTCCACTTTATTTTCCTCTATTATAATTGCGCTTTCCTTCTTTCTTTCTTTTTTAGAAAGAAAAAAAGAAAGAAAGAAAGCACAATTATAATAGAGGAAATTACTTACTTAATTACTTACTGTATTACATTTGCCTTTCTTTTAAATGCCTATCGTTTTCTTTTCCCATCTTTCTTTCTTTCTTTCTTTCTTTCTTTCTTTCTTTCTTTCTTTCTTTGTTTTTCTTAGTATATTACATGTTCTTTTCTTTTAAATACTATCTGCTTTTGTTTACCTCCTTTGTTTGTTTGTTTCTTTCTTTTAGCATTTTACGTTTTTCTTTGTATTAAATACCTATCGCACTCTTTCCCCTTTTTTCTTTATTTCTTTTTTCCTAGAATATTACATGTTCTTTCTTTCTTTCGCTTTCGTTTCCTTTCTTTCTTTTTCTTTCATTCTTTCTTTCTTTCTTTTTTTCTTAGTATATTACGTTTTTTCTTTCTATTAAATAATTATCACTTCCTTTTCCTTTCATTCATTCATTCATTCATTCATTCATTCATTCATTCATTCTGTCTTTCTTTTTCTTAGTATATTACGATTTTTCTTTCTTTTTCTATTTCTATCGCTATTTTTACCTTCTTTCTTTCTTTCTTTCAAAATTTCTCTAGAATCTATTAGACTTGTCGTCGTTACTTTTACAGTCGAGTCAGCTTTAAAGAAATTAGTTTCATAGAATATTTTGCTGTGTTGTCAGTTCGATCGTTACTAAATCCTTCTTTTTATTGTTGACTTCTGCTCGACTAATTTACATTTATTCTCTCTCTGTAATTCCACTTAAATAGGTGTATGTATGTGCAGACAGACAGATAGACAGACAAACAAACAGATATATACATACATACATGGATGAATAGATAGATAGATAGATAGATAGATAGATAGATAGATAGATAGATAAACAAATTGAAATAGACTAAAAACTGCATAGCCAAATGACTTCACGGACAAGATCGAAATCAACTGACATCTCTCTCAATCTTTCTCCACACACACACACACACACACACACACACACACACACACACATATATATATATATATATATATATATATATATATATATATATAATATTAATGGGCCAGAACCTACTAGCAATGTTTTACCTATATATATATATATAAGTACTGCCCTGAAGATCCGTTAGGTAAAACATTGATGGGTAGTTTCTAGCCCATTAGGTTATATATATATATATATATATATATATATATGTGTGTGTGTGTGTGTGTGTGTATGTATATATGTACATATATATATATATTTATATGTAGCTAGATAGATAGATAGATCGATAGATAGATAGATAGATAGATAGTAATAGAGTCATAAATAAATAAATAAATAAATAAATAAAGAAAGAAAGAAAGAAAGAAAGAAAGAATGAATGAAAGAAAAAATGAAAGATTATATTTCTTTCCTTTTTTTCTTTACCAAAATTTACTCATTGTTTGTATTTCATTCTTTATTCAATTTGTTAGAGATAGATAGATAGATAGATAGATAGATAGATAGATAGATAGATAGATAGCAACGGGGTGAGAAAGAAAGGAAGAAAGAATGAAAGAAAGAAGGAAAGAAAGAAAGAAAGAAAAAAGAAAAAAGAAAGAAAAAGAAGAAAGTGTATATCTTCTTTCTTTTTTCTTTTACCAAATTTTATTTATGCATTTTATTTTATTCTTTATTCAATTTGTTAGGATATATATATATATATATATATATATATATATATATATATATATATATATATATATATATTCTTTATTCAATTTGTTAGGATATATATATATATATATAGAGAGAGAGAGATAGATAGATAGATAGATAGATAGATAGATAGATAGATAGATAGTAACAGAGTGAGAAACAAAGAGGGAAAGAAAGAAAAAAAGAAAGAAAGAAAGAAAGAGTGAATGTATTTTCTTTCGTTTTTCTTTTACCAAAATGTGCTTATTCGTTTTTTTCATTCTTTATTCAATTTATTAGGGATAAGTTTGAGAACGTTTTCTCAATGCAGATGCCTAAAAAGAATTAAAAAAAAAAGATAATTCTATTTTGGCATAATTAACTTTCTTCCTCACTTCCAAGTCCAATTCGAAACGAAAAAATAAGAAAAACCTATGAAAACAAAACACTCATCCATGACCTTTTAAGGACATGCCAAACTAAAACAAAACAAGGAACTTCTCGAATTACTTCGTCTAATCAGTCTCCAGTATGACTATTATCGAAGCTAGTCACGTCCCAAAAAAGGACGTGACCATGTCAAAACGTAGATCTCATGGGAAGACCAATGACACGGCCGATAATCCTTGAATATGGTTGTTTCTTCTCTTGTTCAGCCCTGGACATGTCCTGAGGGCTTTGTGGACCGGACTGAATTACTGGCCGGATGGTTGCCAGCCATCTTGGAGCCGAAATTACGTCGCTAGCGATGGGTAGGGACGGTGAAATGTAGAAGAAGATGTTGACAACGGTTGAGAGATTTTTGCTTACGGCTAAGTGTCCAGTCAGTCGAAGATGGGGGTTAGGGAACATTTAGATGGGCCTTTGTGCATGTAGGCTGCCCAACTAGGAATGTTACAGGCTAGCTCTTTGCTGTTAAAAGATGTGTTACAGTGATCGATTGCAGAACACTGATATCGATTCATGCTATATGCATAAATATCAGCACGCCATCGAGTTCTCTGAGAATAAAGTGACTGGGAAGATGCTTAGAAAACTGGGAATTTCATTAGAGCTGTGGAATTTAGGAAATATTTCTTTAGACACAAAATGTTTGTGGTAACGAGGCGATAACAGGAGAGTGATTTCTTTCCTGGCATACTCTTTTTTCAATAAAAAAAGCAGTTTAAAATATAAATTTACCTCTGTTGCATTGCCACCGAATGAGAGCGTGTATAGTTCGAACTCGGCTCTCCGATTCCTCAGTTAGAGCCACTATCCATTACTCCAACTCGCCTCACTTTGTATATACTTACGCGAAAATATCCCTCGGAAAGGTTAGATTGTATCCCCGTTATTCGTTGTACGGTAGGAAGTGTAACAGAAAAAAAAATCATTGTTATTCTAAAAAACGTGGCCGGACATTTGGTCAAGAGATATTTAGCCAAACAAACATTTGACCGACGGACATTTAGCCGACGGATATTTGGCCGAGGGAATATTTCACCGAAAAAGTACAAGTAAGAATAGTAACCAGCACTATAAGTATTTAAATTAGCAGTATTATAAGGTAGAATAGGACGAATAATGACCACTGAATTTCAAGTGATTAAATTACTAAATTTAAATTTAAAATTAAAAGTTTTCTTATTTCAATATTTATGTTTATTGAAATTAGTATTTAAAAAAAATATTTGAGTGTATTTGGGTAAAAAGCAGCAGCTAATTATTTAAATTCGTATTTATCAGTAGGATGAAAGCTAGTTCATCCCTTTAAGATAATGGTCATTAAAAGCGAAATTGTAAGATCTTTCATATCATAAAAGCTAAAGATTTTTGCTGTAGTAAAATGTGCTTATACTCAAAATACTTATCATCTTACAGAAAATTTGAAGTAAAATATAATATATACAGAATAGTTTCAGATAAAAAGCCTGTCGAGAAAAAAAAATTAAAATTAATACAATATATATATATATTCATATATATATATATATATATATATATATATATATATATATATATATATATATATATATATATATTATATGGTAAATATACAGACATATGCAAAATATATGAATATATATACATAGATGCATAGACATACATATATATTTTTGAATGAAAAATACCAAGAGGATAGTATCCAGGTAGAACTCAATGTCCAGGTCAAGCAAGGATATAATAAATATTAGTGTTTAAAAGCATTTTTATTATATATATATATATTATATATATATATATATATATATATATATATATATATATATATATATATATATAATAATAATATAATATATATATTCCAAATATACTTTATTCCATTGGATGGTGTAATTTATTCAATTCATGGAATCATAAATAGAAATTTGTAGGTCTGATGAATTGATCGTATTTACGATTCCAATGGAATAAATTATGACCATAGAATATTAGTCTTTAAGCCTTTTTTGATTATATCCTGACTTATCCTGGACATTGAGTTTCTACCTCTGCAGTATTCTATCCTCTTGGAATTTTTTATTCAAAAAATATACATGTATGTGTATGGACTTATGTATATATATTTATATATTTTCCATATGTATGTGTATATTTACCACTAATATTGCGCGTTATATATATATATATATATATATATATATATATATATATATCGCAGACCGGGTTCTATGAGGTCATGTCTCGTTTGATACATGTCTGACGAGGTAGATTTTTTCCGGCAATAGGTTTCATTATCCTCTGCGGTAGACTTGGGCGTAAGTGAATGACCAACTCAGAAATCGATCTCTCATTCCAAACGCAATCCATTACGTAAAGCCAAGGAGAAGGCACGGTGGAGTAATGGATAGTGGCTCGGATTGAGGAATCGGAGAGCCGAGTTCAAAATTCAGTCAGATCCCTTACATTCAGTTGCGCGTTAATAACATCCACTTCTTCTCCCCACCCACAGCTATGGGTAAATAGCAGGACAGACCGGGTTCTATAGCCTTGGATGACATCTGGTATACCACAGAAAGAAATGGCAAACTACTGCGTGAAAAAAACTGCCTCGTCAGTCATGTATCGAGAGATACATGATCGCCTAAGCGTGTATCACGCATGGCATATAACTGACTGAAATTCACTTACGTGCTAATAACCTTAGGAACGGAATGAATCCTCTTCTTCTCTCCCTAGCTATGGGTGAATAGCAGGACAGACTGGGTTCTATAGACTTAGATATCAACTGGTCTCCTGCAGAAAGAAATGGCAAACTACTGCGGGAAAAAAACTGCCTCGTCAGCCATGTATCGAGAGATACATGATCGCCTAAGCGTGAAAAAAACTGGGAAAAGTATGAATCCTCGTCAGCCATGTATCGAGAGATACATGATCGCCCTAAGCGTGTATCACGCATGGCACAACAGGGAGAAAGAAATGGCAACCTACTGCTCTGTTTCGTCAGTCCAGAAATGAATATAAATATATGGTCTCCTGCAGAAAGAAATGGCAAACTTAAAAAACAATAAGAGATACA